ATTTGTGCGTTTGTGTGTGTGTGTATCACATTTGTGCGTTTGTGTGTGTGTTTGTGTATCACATTTGTGTGTTTGTGTATCACATTTGTGCATTTGTTTGTTTGTGTGTGCGTTTGTGTATCACATTTGTGCGTTTGTTTGTGTGTGTGTGTATCACATTTGTGCGTTTGTTTGTGTGTGTGTGTATATCACATTTGTGCGTTTGTGTGTTTGTGTATCACATTTGTGCATTTGTGTGTGTGTATCACATTTGTGCGTTTGTGTGTTTGTGTATCACATTTGTGCATTTGTTTGTGTGTGCGTTTGTGTATCACATTTGTGCGTTTGTTTGTGTGTGTGTGTATCACATTTGTGCGTTTGTGTGTGTGTTTGTGTGTCACATTTGTGCGTTTGTGTGTGTGTTTGTGTGTGCGTTTGTGTGTGTGTTTGTGTTTGTGTGTGTGTTGTGTGTGTGTTTGTGTATCACATTTGTGCGTTTGTTTGTGTGTGTGTGTGTATCACATTTGTGCGTTTGTGTGTGTGTGTATCACATTTGTGCGTTTGTGTGTTTGTGTATCACATTTGTGCGTTTGTGTGTGTGTTTGTGTGTCACATTTGTGCATTTGTGTGTGTGTTTGTGTATCACATTTGTGCGTTTGTGTGTGTGTGTAGCACATTTGTGCGTTTGTGTGTGTGTTTGTGTATCACATTTGTGCGTTTGTGTGTGTGTTTGTGTGTCACATTTGTGCGTTTGTGTGTGTGTGTGTGTGTCACATTTGTGCGTTTGTGTGTGTGTTTGTGTGTCACATTTGTGCGTTTGTGTGTGTGTTTGTGTATCACATTTGTGCATTTGTGTGTGTGTGTCACATTTGTGTTGTGTCACATTTGTGCGTTTGTGTGTGTTTGTGTTGTGTATCACATTTGTGCGTTTGTGTGTGTTTGTGTGTGTTTGTGTGTCACATTTGTGTTTTTGTGTGTCACATTTGTGTTGTGCGTTTGTGTGTGTGTTTGTGTGTGTGTGTCACATTTGTGCGTTTGTGTGTGTTTGTGTGTGTTTGTGTGTCACATTGTGTGTTTGTTTGTGTGTCACATTTGTGTGTTTTGTGTGTCACATTTGTTTTGTGTGTGTTGTGTCACATTTGTGTGTTTGTGTGTCACATTTGTGTGTGTGTGTCACATTTGTTTGTGCGTGTTTGTGTATCACATTTGTGCGTTTGTTGTGTGTATCACATTTGTGCGTTTGTGTGTGTGTGTATCACATTTGTGCGTTTGTGTGTGTGTATCACATTTGTGCGTTTGTGTGTGTGTGTATCACATTTGTGCGTTTGTGTGTGTGTGTATCACATTTGTGCGTTTGTGTGTGTGTATCACATTTGTGCGTTTGTGTGTGTATCACATTTGTGCGTTTGTGTGTGTGTTTGTGTATCACATTTGTGCGTTTGTGTGTGTGTATCATTTGTGCGTTGTGTTGTTTGTGTATCACATTTGTGCGTTTGTGTGTGTGTGTATCACATTTTGTGCGTTTGTGTGTGTGTATCACATTTGTGCATTTGTGCGTTTGTGTGTGTGTTTGTGTATCACATTTGTGTGTTTGTGTATCACATTTGTGCATTTGTTTGTGTGTGCGTTTGTGTATCACATTTGTGCGTTTGTGTGTGTGTGTATCACATTTGTGCGTTTGTTTGTGTGTGTGTGTATCACATTTGTGCGTTTGTGTGTTTGTGTATCACATTTGTGCATTTGTTTGTGTGTGTTTGTGTATCACATTTGTGCGTTTGTGTGTGTGTATCACATTTGTGCGTTTGTGTGTTTGTGTATCACATTTGTGCATTTGTTTGTGTGTGCGTTTGTGTATCACATTTGTGCGTTTGTTTGTGTGTGTGTGTATCACATTTGTGCGTTTGTGTGTGTGTTTGTGTGTCACATTTGTGCGTTTGTGTGTGTGTTTGTTGTGTGTGCGTTTGTGTGTGTTTTGTGTGTGTGTTTGTGTGTCACATTTGTGCGTTTGTTGTGTGTGTGTATCACATTTGTGCGTTTGTGGTGTGTGTGTGTGTATCACATTTGTGCGTTTGTGTGTGTGTGTATCACATTTGTGCGTTTGTGTGTGTTTGTGTATCACATTTGTGCGTTTGTGTGTGTGTGTTTGTGTGTCACATTTGTGCATTTGTGTGTGTGTTTGTGTGTCACATTTGTGCGTTTGTGTGTGTGTTTGTGTGTCACATTTGTGCGTTTGTGTGTGTGTTTTGTGTGTCACATTTGTGCGTTTGTGTGTGTGTGTTTGTGTGTCACATTTGTGCGTTTGTGTGTGTGTTGTGTGTCACATTTGTGCGTTGTGTTGTGTGTTGTGTGTCACATTTGTGCGTTTGTGTGTGTGTTTGTGTGTCACATTTGTGCGTTTGTGTGTGTTTGTGTATCACATTTGTGCGTTTGTGTGTGTTTGTGTATCACATTTGTGTGTTTGTGTGTCACATTTGTGTGTTTGTGTGTCACATTTGTGCGTTTGTGTGTGTGTTTGTGTGTC